AAGGACTGGACATTGATGATCGGGTCAAAGTCACCGATGAAAAATCACAGGAAAAGTAGCAGAATTTACAGACTCCGTGCAGCCAATCGTATCTGATTCTAATAGGATATGTTTGACGGATGCTTGTAAGGAAATTTCTGATAACGTTGCTGGGTACATTGCAAAAAAGCTGATTAAGCTTTGCAATAGTTGCTGTGAGCAACTACTAACCAATAATGGTGTTTCACCATCTGTGCAGTTACTTTCTCGTGGCGGATTGAAGGAACCATCTGCTGCGTTGGGTAATTTTGTTGCTCATGGATATGCTGTACTGAATGCAGCAGCAAATATTATTCAAGACTCTAGCTTGCCATCGCGATTTGTTGCGGAGGATCTTTTGAAAACCGTTTTGTGTAACGAAGGGTTCGTCTGCAAACAGCACGAAGATATCGCCAATAACCGGGCAATAAGAATTATTTGTAACGTCTTCCTCAACAATCAGAGGAAAAGGCGAACAGAGACTGTTGTCAAAGATCGAGTTGTTGCACTAAAGCAAAGCAAGCGTTCTAAAGGCAATTGATGTAATTTTATTTACATTAACCGAGAATGCGTTTTTTAAAAGGCATCTACTTTCAACTCGAGTTTTTGTTTCAATTTCAGCATGCAAATGTCTTGTTTGTCTCTGAGACACTTGATCTCTAGTATATACTCCAATCCGATTTCGCATATAAGTGGTAGAAGTCGAAATCATTTAGAAATCGTGAATGCCTTAAAGGCCTTGCATTTTTGGCCTTGCTATGGCAAGATATCAGGCCGTGTAAATTTGAGTAGGCCATGCATGTCCCTATGTTTTAATGAGTTGATATTTTAAACAGAAAAAAAAGTTAAGCGAAGGAGGATTTTCCTTTCAAGTTTCTATAATTACTAATAATGTCACAGTCAGTGTGGATTTTTAAAAAAACGTTGAACATGACAATGAAATTTAAAGACATTATAGCTACGTACGACTCAAGCTGTGGGTAATGAATAAAATGAAATACTTGCTTTTAGAGAAGCCTGTGCGTTCAAGATTAATATGAGTTAATTGCAATCACAACTGAATCGTTGGAAATGTACTTCTATTCCATAAAGATATTCAGAAAGTAGCGAAAACAATGTATAATATTATTTAGACCGTTTTCATCAATTCATTTCACGACATTGACATCTATTCATCAATTCAAGTTACCTACATGTACGGTATGCGTACCTTTCTTTAGTTTTACTTTTATACATCTAAAATCTACAGCTGCTTTTTTGTTTCATTTGCAGGAAAAACAGGAGATGCTTGTGAAAGCAACCCTCGAATCATTTATTTGGAAATCGGTTTGAAAAATGAGGAAGTATCTTAATGTTTTAAACATTTTTTGGAAGATGTTCAAGAGAAAAAAACAATCACAGCAGCTTTTTGTAACGCTGCAGTGTTATGGAAAATGGAAAAAATACAGATTGAAAACATTTAACCATTTTCGTAATAAATACCCAGAATTAGTGACGTATTTACCTTTACAAGATGATGGCGTCATAACAGCTTGCAACAAGCAGCATCAAATTTTCTTATCAACATTGTTTGGAAGATAATCATCACTAGAACAGGTGATGTTAAACCAACATTTGCTATGTAGGCTGTCATACCGACAAAACATGATAATGGTAATTTTCCTAAGAATATGCAAGCGAAATTCACTGGTTTATTGAAAAGTGTAGGTATAGAAAAATCAATTGCGAAGGAGGATTTTCCTTTCAAGTTTCTTTAATTACTAATAATGTCACAGTCAGTGTGGATTTTTAAAAAATGGTTGAACATGACAATGAAATTTAAAGACATTATAGCTACGTACGACTCAAGCTGTGGGTAATGAATAAAATGAAATACTTGCTTTTAGAGAAGCCTTTGCATTCAAGATTAAATATGAGTTAATTGCAATCACAACTGAATCGTTGGCAATGTACTTCTATTCCATAAAGATATTGAGAAAGTAGCGAAAACAATGTATAATATTATTTAGACCGTTTTTATCAATTCATTTCACGACATTGCCATCTATTCATCAATTCAAGTTACTCACATGTACGCTAACGTCGTACCTTTTTTAATTTTACTTTTATACATCAAAATCTACAGCTGCTTTTTTGTTTCATTTGCAGCAAAAAATGGAGATGCTTGTAAAAACAACCCTCGAATCATTTATCTGGATGTCGGTTTGAAAAATGAAGAAGTATCTTCATGTTTTAAACATTTTTTGGAATATGTGCAAGAGGAAAAACAATTACAGCAGTTTTTTGTATTATTGTAGTGTTATGGAAAATGGAAAAAGACAGATTGAAAACATTTAACCATTTTCGTAATAAATACTTAGAATTAGTGACGTATGCACCTTTACAAGAAAGATTACGACGTCATGACATCTTGCAACAAGTAACATTCAAATTTTTTTATCAACATTGTTTGGAAAATAATCGTGTCTAGAACTGATGATGTTAAACCAACATTTGCAATGCAGGCCGTCATACCAACAAAACATAATAATGGTAATTTTTTTAAGAATATGCAAGCAAAATTCACTGGTTTGTTGAAAAGTGTAGGTATAGAAAAATCAATTGAGGTACTACTCCTTACCATGACAGAATAAATGGAGGCGAAGTAGCGGGCATTTTTTTACAATAAATTTGTCATAAAAAATATGTAGATAAATCTTAGTGTAGATAATTTGCCCTAAAAAAGGCAAGGTTAGTCATTAACTTTATTAGTAAAGCTACCATGGCATAAACTTCAAATCACTTTTAACCGCAACGTTTTATAGAAGAGAAGAAAAAGATGAAAGTAAAGTCTCCAAATTTAAACGTGTGCGCAGACCCTTACTTCCAAGAGAAATTGCATCTGCGGTCTGTCCAAATTTCTGCGCCTGTTTATTTTTGATTCTAGCACACTAATATTTAAATGCATGACTGCAATTGGGAGTAATGTGAGGATTGCTTAATTAAGTGACGATATTTTGTTTCCATCACCATTTCTACTGCATGTTAGTTTCTAAATTTTGGAAAAAACGACAAATTGTCGATTTTTGCCATTTCTACACACTTTGATTTTCGAATCAATCGAATTTCGATCTGTTGCCTTCGAAAACAGCTTTAAAGACAGGACTGGAAGACAAGTTAAAAAAATTCTTCAAACTATACAAAGAACACGCTGACTACTTCTCCTTTAGATGCGGCTTTTTTTTGAAATTGGTATTTTGTTCTCGTTGCATATTTTTAAATAATTCTTGCTTAAAATATTTTCTCTAAAATCTGAATAAAAAAGGCCTAACAAGCTTTCCCCTCGAACAGGCCAACCAAATATTGAAGGGTAAACTTCTGCATATTCAATCACAAGTCATGTTGGTAAAAAGAGGTTACAGAATATACTACACAATTGTGCACTTTGCTTTTACCATAAGTACCATGAGATAAAGACTGAATTATAGACGGACGTCATCAGTGCAAAACGTTCAGAACTTACGTTTACTACATATAAAGAAAGCAAGTCATTAATTGTTGGTGACCAACATTTCTTCTTGTATTTTTATCATTGAACTTAAGTGCATGTAAGGATATTTAAAGGAAAATAATGGTGACGTCACAGATGTGGTTATTAGATAAATTCAAAATAATGTTTTTTTAGTGTTGCTACAGATAATGCCAAAATACGTACACATGTGCATTAAAACCCTTAAATCACTGAGTACATACTACGCAGGTCAGCTCCTTTCCACCGACATATGGTGGACAAGGTAAAGAGTAACCACAATGGCCTTCAACAAAATATAGCAATGCTCCATTTTTATTTGCATGAGATCCATACATTGCTTCTGGTTTACCATCAACACAAATGTACTCAGATCGCTTTTCTTTATGATGTGCAGCCATTAAATAGCCTTTGTATTCCATAGTCCATCCTGAAGGACAGATGTTGCGCGCTGGAATCATCATGTGACTACCTCGTGACTTAGCATGACATACAGCACACGGAGCATCTCGGTCGTGTAAGTTTGGATTTGGAAATATATGTTTCTCAGCAGAAGTAATCTCGTATTCAGTACCATAAATGATTGCTCTACTCTGAGCACCGAAAGCGTATTTCTCGTATATTGGATTCAATGGTAAACAAAGATAATTTGATCCACTTCCAGTGTGTGTATAAAATGATCCTCCAATTGCTCCTGTTTTTATTAAAATAATGCTTTAGAACTACTTTTAACTACAGAATAAAATTTATAGGTTTTTAGAAGAAGTTATAGTTGCAGTTTATGATACAAGCGTAATTTGCCCTACATTTATTAAGATACATGCCGGCCAAGTTTCACTTCCTGAACTTATAGAAAATTGTGTTGACCACATATATAATGAAATTATGAAACCCTTAAGCCTGGTTCACATGATTGAAATAAACATAAGAACAAGGAAAGACAAATTTTCAACATTTGTTGGGCAATGTACGCCGGTGGATAGGTGACAGTCAATAAAACAGGGGAGTTGGCAACTCTGCCTGAGGTAGAAGACGACACTTTAAAATGCCGAATCATCGTCATGGTAACTACATTTGTTGATGAACGAGTGACTAAAAGTAAACGAAGTAGTATATTTTTACACCTTTCATACCAGTCTATCGAATGGTACTGAGAATTTTTGAAATTTTGCAAATTTTTTGGTTTTGATAAATATTGATGACGTCATCGTAAATTAAACGTAAATTTCAGCTTATTGTGAACACTTATCGCTTGGCGCCACATTGATTACTTGCTTTTGCATTATTCTCTATAACAGTTTGATAAAAATTATTAGTTATGAGAGGTGCTATTGAAGATTGTTTTTTGAGCTCATTTTTACCGTCTGGTCCGCAGACTTTTACGTTGATCTTCTGAATAATTAATATAACTATTTCTTACCAGAAAAAATCTCAACAGTTTTCGTTGTTTTAGGACAATGTTTTTTTCCCCATCTGGTATAGACCACTCCACCGGTTGACTTGGCTTTACTTTTAGGTCCTGGTGCACCAGCTGGACCAGGTTTTCCCTGCTTACCAGAAGGACCTTATAATATTTAACATGGCTATTAGAGTAGTATAGGGAAGAGGAATTCTGGGGCCGGTGGAGTCTTTACGCTCCACCGGAAACGTATCTCACTTTACCCAGGTTAAAATATTTAGGCTACGTATCTCACTTTACCCAGGTTAATGCATACAATATTAAACTTATGTAAAGCGCCGGATTAATTAAGGCTCAAGCTCAAGCTACTTCTTAAACCAAAACAAAAGTGCTACTTGTTCATTTTTGAGATTAAAATTATTCTTTTAACTCTGTTTCAGTTTCAGCCTAACTTTCTGTTGACATTGAACTTTTAGATACATCTGTGGAAATTGTCGAAACATTATCTTCGAAATGCATTCCCTGAATGTCTGAATCTGATTGAGACATTTCTTCCTGATCCCTTAGTAGACAGTACTCTTCTACGTGTCAGCGTAGGTTAAAAGCTCGATTGAATGCTTTTTCACAATATCTGCAGCTCATTCCGCCAGCACAGTCTTTTTCGAAACGTGATGTGTTTGTGAAGCAATGTGGATTTATGAGCAAATGAGCAAATGTGTTGAAAAAGTTATGAGTAGTTGCAACCCGTCATGAGCACTCACGAGCAGTTATGAGTTGTTGAGCAAGTGCTCATAAGACCATTAAAGGTCCAAACTATTTTATATAATTTATATCAACTTGTCGTTATCATAAAGAAGTTTTTTCCACGAATATGAGAAACTCTCCTTTGAATTCTCCTCCCCCCAAAAGGAATCTAGGCGAGTTTCTCATATTAGTGAACAAAACTGCTTCTTCATACTATAAAGCCTGGGCAGTAGTAGTTTAGAAATGTCCGTTAGACACGATGAAAAAAACGACTTTAAGAATTCAGGCGCTTATAGTAACGCAAGGGTGTCCAGACACCAACAATTTGTGGATCGCGCTGCACACTTACAAGAAGGACACTTAAAACAATGGCTTCTTATTTGAACGTTTATCACATATGAATGAATGCCACTTTTTTGAAGGTGTACTACTTTTTTGAAATAAACAGATCCCTCTAACATGATGCAGTTAAAAACTGAATAAGAAATTTAATTTCAAAAAGTTTCATTACAGGTTTAACTATTGTAAATGATCACATTTTGAGTATGGAACACTTTAATCTTTTAAAAGCTTCCAATATAAATTTTATGTCCCATTAGCTATTTAACTATGTAAGCCTATATGGATAATGGATGCTATATTATATTACATGTCTTTGTTAGCTCAAAAAACGTTTGCTTCTGGCATTTTAATATGTTTTCTGACATTTTCTCACAGCAAAATCAGGGATATATTGCTATCGCTAATTAAGGGGGCTCTTAATCATATATGCATGTTATAAATCTGTAGATAACAATACGTTTCAAAAGATATTAATTCAGCATATCATGCATAAATGAATAAGAGCCCCTCCCCCAACTGGCGATAGCAATGCATCCCTTAGCAAAACGTGAACTTATTGAACGTAACAAAAATATGTCATTTAAGATCCTTTATTTATAACGCTTAGAGACTGTTTGAGAATGTGATCAACTTTTGAATGCGTCAAATTTTTCATAATTTCATAACAATATTTATGATTTTCTTATATCATTTATTTTTTTTGTGATGAGCAAATGCAAGTATAAAGAGATTATTGTGTTATGTATAAATATGATTATTGTGCTTTGTCATACATTCATAGTGGTTCATAGGTATTGTGAAATACAAGTTTTGAAACCTCATGTTTGTTTATTTCGATATATTAATGGTGTAATCAATTTCTTTGCGTTGCGTTTATTATTTGGCCCCTCTAAAAAATTGTCTCAAAAAAGGTGCAACTTTTTCCAAAACCAAGAGAACAGGCAATCTAAGATGTCACAAGTCATCTAAATCTATACATATAGTCACATAATATCAAATCAGTCAGAATAACTATCACACTTTAGCGATGACCTTATGCTTTGGCGAATATAATATTAACGCGTCTATAATAAAGCGAGAATAATAAACTAATAACTCATTAAAAATATTCCGCGAATAAAAAAGCACAAAGGCTTGAATAACTCATCCATTTCTTCAACAAAATCTGCTATCACACAAAACACGACAGAAGGAAAATGCATGTACAAAGTTCTGACCAAAAATCTTTAATAGATTTTTTACGTTCCGTTTGAATTAAACATCTAAGTATTTAGAATCCATAAAATCAGGATCTGGACCCCTAATTGGCACGCAGCCAAAAAGGTAGTAATTTACCTCATACGAATTTTTAAGCTATTTTGTCAAAATCGATCAAATAGCTTATTTAGCTAAGATGGGTATAACAGTTAGTAAAAGATTTAACGTAGTTTCCTGGAAATACATTTAACCACACATGCACTACAGATAAAAAGAAAATGACCAACTCTGTTAAAAGAAACTCACCACGCAATGAAGCATCTCTGCCATCACGTCCTAAATTGTAAGGTTATTTTAGAAAAATTAGATTCAGTAGTAATAGAGCTACGTTGTGGTAGTAAACATTTTCTTAAAATATTTCACAACTTCAAAAGTAAACAATGTTGTATAACTCACCATCTCTGCCTGGAAGTCCTGGAAGTCCTCGACAACTTGTTACTTTGCCATTCTGTCTCTTAAAAATACTTAACAAACAGTTAAAGTCGTAACTATAAAGCGATAATTCGCAGCTAGCCTAAATTCAGTGAAACGTGAAACGATTTAAAATATGGAAAGGAGTACAAATTTGAAATAAAAAATTCATAAATCTTTAATTAAGCGCCATACGAAGTAATTTTGTGTATTTTCTATCCATGCAAAGTGCAAATGTTGAGAAAATGCCAAGTAAATTTGCTAGATGATAAATACTCTTTTAGTTAAATCTGTCTGAATCATTTCAAGTTTCTCTAATCTTCAGCTACCAAGGCTTGTGAAATTAAACTCCCTCGAACAATTGAGCAATGACAAAACAAACTCAATAATTAGGGGTACAAAAAGAGGTCAAAACAAAAAAATCATACCAATCCCTATTTAATGTGTGCGTACTAGTGTACGTGTATGTGTGAGCTAGTATGAGTACGGAAAATTGTTTTCAACTGGTTAAGATTTTTATTACTTCTTTTATTGGTTACTTTAATGCAACCTCAATATGATCAGTAATCATAAAATATGCCACCTTTCAACACAACATATCGTATCTAAAATATCAAATGATAATACAAGTGATTGCCACAAACCTTTCTTTTGCTTTGTCTTTTAACTTCAACATGGCATTTTTGTCATCATTATAATTGCAGTAGATGACTTTTATTAGAAAAAGCAAAATAATCTCGAGAGTAGCGATGTACATTATTTTACGTTATTTTATAGGACGGAAACTTCTCCTCTCTGTCAGCTATTGCAGTTACAAGTAAACTCTTGCAATGCAATCAGTGATATTTTTAGTCAGTTTTGTCCAATCATATGCTTTGTTTTCATATTTCATCCAATCGATGGCTTCCCTCCAATTTATTCAGAGGCAAATGAATGAAATTGCTTTCCTTCAGCTCCATAATGATTTTTCTAGTTAAAACAAGAACTATCCATTGAAACACCCTTTATTTATAATTCTGCGTTGGGCATTGTGTAGCCATATTAATGCATTAAGTTTGATTTGTCAAGCGTCTCCTTTGTCTTTGATTGGCTCGGTCTTTTGTCTGATTGAAACTTCCTTCAGTTCTTCTTTTCTATTCTTTTAATAGACTGCACTCACACAAACAGCTGGAGTACTGTAATGCTACAATGTGCATCAACATATTAATCATGCAACGTCGTTGTTACTGTTTTAAATTTGGACGAAGGTTATGGTCACTTTGTTTCATGTAATGTGTATGCTATATTTTGTTTATGCTGTATATTAAAGATTGTTGAATGTCGATGGTTGTCTATTCATTTAATAAAGAGTACAAAGTTCATGTGAGCAGAGACGAAACTAGAACTTTATTGGGGAGGGTTTATATTAATATATTCAGTGGTGCGCTACTGATTTCTTTTGAATTCCAATTTCTTTCAAAAGAAATTAGTATGGCCCGACGTAATATATGAATATACACCCCCCTCCCCCATTTAACGTTCTAGTTACGCCTCTGCATGTGAGGGAATTTATATTTACTGATAAACATTTGCAAGAAGCAATTGTTTATTTGCTTTACGGTGAGGATATAGTTGGCGATAAATACTTAGTCAGTAGCGTAGCCTGCCAGCAAATTTTAGTCTCGAAATGTTAATTTGAGGACATTATTACTATTCATTTTGCTAGAAATTTATTCTTTTCATAGTACGCAAACAAAGAAAAATTAACATAGTATCATACGTAGTATGACTAAAGCAGTGGACTATACTGTTTATAAAAAAAATTTAACGGATAGGAAAACATTGCTTATGCTGTCAGCTTGTAGGATTTGCAAAATCCATTGATGGAATAGATTGTTAGACTTCCAATGAATCATCTGACAGTAAAATGTTTGTAAATAGTAACAATTTTAAGAATGAGAATTGTGTTACCGAGAAGCATTTTTGAAATAGATTGCGCACAAAAATGACATAGTTAAAAAGCAATTTGAACTCAGAGGGTTAAAATATGGCACATATTATTCAAGCCAAAAAAGTTTTGCAAAATTTGTCAAAAACATAAAAGAACGCTAAGCAAATCTTTATAAATTATTCATATTTCATTATTTGTATTATCTTTGGCTCAAAATTATGCATAATTCATGAAGAGTATGAAGCAGCATTCAAAAAAGGAAATTTAAAATATTCAGCACTTTTGAACAACGAGCCATATTTTGAATCTGTGTGTTGTAATTGCTTTTTAAATGTCTCATTTTCGTGCGCAAGCTATTTTAAAAATTTTAGAAGGTAACACAATTCTCATTCTGAAAATTGTCATTGTTAGCGATAATTTCACTGTCAGGCAGACCATTGGTCCAACTATTTCTAACAAATAATTTTGAAGATCTTGCAAGCAGATGACTTTAGTGACGTTTTCCAAACTGTTCAGTTTTTTTGATACACCTTGTAGTAGCTACGCCAATCTAATTACCCCAATCCCTGCTAATAAATTTGAGTTAAACTTAATGTCAATTTCATCTTGATATACTGGAAAAAAGAAACTAATAAGTTTGGTGTTAGCATTGACAAAAAGATGCGACAGTAATTTTATGTGTGTCAGTGTGTGAGAAGTAAGCCACAGTTTTTAAGAGTAGCTACTGCGCATGCGCAGATCAATATCATCTGTTAAAAATGTCTATCTTGCTACATATTTTTGTTATCTTTTGGTCATTATAGAATAAGCAAATGACTATGGGGGCATAAGCTTTTAAGTGATAACGCCTTGTCATTCTCATGAAAGATTGTGGAGTCAATGGTGATTTAATATTCCATATGTCCAAATATTTTGGTAGTAGTGCATATTACATGGTCTTGAGTTGGAGATTTTCTTAATTTTGAGTAAGTCATTGATCATAGCCAAACGATGTACATTCAAAGTTTTATTGACTCTTACAGACACAAGATTTGTTAAAATGTAATTAATTTCTCTTAAAAAAACACCAGCTGGTTCGTCTTCGCTAAGCTTACATTAAATTACTCTTTTTTCATGCAGAGCAAAGCAAGTTTTAAATTTTAAACAACAGCTGTTGAGTACGATTGACGGATACAAGTCTCCCTGCTAATTGGCTATTGACTTGTGAGTTACCTTACAGTCGTCTTATTAAAAAGTAGAAAAAATATGAAAGTAGTCACGGTGTTGCAAGGCTCAGTTCTAAGAGGAAAGGTCACCAAACTTGCATTTTACATACTGGAATTTTTTTAAACCAATATTCGTAAATATTTTGTAAGTACCTGTTCCAGATATCGACTCACAAATGAAAAAGGGAAAGAAGTAACTTTAGAATTTGCTCCTGGATCTTGTCTCCAGCTGACAGGGCAAGGTAATTATTAATTTTATAAGACGGGTGACAGAAAGGATTACCTGAAGAGCCCTCCCTCGCAGTTTAATTTATCATTTTGAATATTTGGGGAGCGATTTTCCATTAGTTCTTTATGCCCAAGGTTGGGATCTGGCGTTTCACCTCACAATCTTGTTGATGCAATCAACGTCAAAAGGTTGACTCGTATTTATGAAAGCTTTTAAAGGAAATGTGTCGGTCAGTAACCTCTGAAAACATTTATTGGAAAGCTGCTCTTTAAGAGGCATTCTTCTTTCTGCAGTTTGAACAATGCATGTGGCTTCTTAACCCTTAGTGGGATGTGTTTTTTGTTTTATTTGATTTTATTCCCCACTAATCAATGTGAATTGGTGTTGGATGTAAGTTGTCAATTGGCATGATGGCTGCCAGTACTAGTCGAGTGCGTTATCTAACCAATAAGAGCAATAAGTAATGTTATTAGATATACATACAGCACCAAGTTTTACAGTAAAGTGAGTCCAGAGTTTAATTTATTTATTATGTAGAGGTGCACTTATATGTAATTACACTATCAAAGTATGTCTCTTATAAAAGGTCAATGAAGGGCAATCAAGTTTTTCATTCAAAATTTAAGGTGAATGCTGGATTTTCATGTTTTACTGTCAAATTTTATAGCTCCATACTGCATACCCTAAATTGCAAGACAATATAAGTAATGCATGTCTTTCATACTGTAATCCTTTTATCTTCTAAAATTTTAAAATGGTCCTATAATGGGAAAATTTAAATATCTAAAATAACTCTGAGTAATATCATTTCAATCTTAAAAATAAGGTAATGGGATGATCGGTCGTAAAAGATATGAAAAAACAGCTGCAAGAAAACATTTAAACGAGGCAACATTTTTCCAGGCTGTTTTCTTACTGAATAAACGCCAATTGAGCAAACAACTTTTGCTTCATATGGTGATCCGTGGAGATTTGTAAACAGTGACGTTGGCATACAGCAATTCAAAATAAGTACGCATTGTGTACATGCTTCATATGGTGGTCCGTGGAGATTTGTAAACAGTGATGGTGGCATACAGCAATTCAAAATAAGTACGCATTGTGTAAATGCTTTATATGGTGCTCAGTGGAGATTTGTAAGCAGTGATGGTGGCATACAGCAATTGAAAATAAGTACGCATTGTGTACATGCTTTATATGGTGCTCGGTGGAGATTTGAAAACAGTGATGGTGGCATACAGCAATTCAAAATAGGTACGCATTTTGTACATGCTTCATATGGTGGTCCGTGGAGATTTGTAAACAGTGATGGTAGCATACAGCAATTCAAAATAGGTGCACATTGTGTACATGCTTCATATGGTGGTCCGTGGAGATTTGTAAACAGTGATGGTAGCATACAGCAATTCAAAATAGGTACGCATTGTGTACATGCTTCATATGGTGGTCCGTGGAGATTTGTAAACAGTGATGGTAGCATACAGCAATTCAAAATAGGTACGCATTGTGTACATGCTTCATATAGTGCTCGGTGGAGATTTGTAAACAGTGATGATGGCATACAGCAATTCGCGTAAAACATCCTCATCAATAAGAAATTCACCAGTCCTTGATTTACTGTCTCTAGTTAGCACAACATAAGCCACATCACTCATGATGTCTGTCTTACGACATTGTTGTAGAGCATCTCCACCAGCAAGCATCTCAATTGCTGCTGTCTCGATAGGTCAAGTCCTGTGAGTATGATATTGATAATGGGCATTTATATACAGATGAGGAAACACAAAGTAAACCTCTAGGGCAGTTGTCTATGGATGAGGAAACTAATGTTAAAATGCACGAATGGGAAAGCACACGTATATGTTTACATACAGTAATACATAAAAGAACTCAACCAAATAATCCCATAAAAAGATTATAAAGTCGTTCAAGTGACAGAAAAATGAAAAAAATATTTAGATCGCTACTATATGATGCATGCCATACCTCCTGTAGCACAATGTTAAAATGAACCCCTAGCTATATGACACTGTAACACGTAACTGGCCTGTTTTTGGCCAAAGAGCGTTCACTGCTACACCATCATCTTTAAATTCTTCAGCCATACCAAGAACACACATGGACATACCATATTTAGCGATCGTGTATGCTATCAACATACCAGAACATAGAAATCGGGTTTAATTCACTGGCAAAAGTGACTGACTTTTCTCGAATATTTCGCAGTGCACGTAGCTAAGTACATAAATATGAGCACCACTAGTTTTAAAAACTGCTCGGTTAATACTTCTGATTCAATTAATGTCCACTAAAATACTGAATACATGTAGTGAATAAAAGTGTTTTGAACAAACTAAAAAAGCTGGAAAACAGAACTGGTCGACTACCTTATAGCTACATATGTACGGCACACACGTGTAAGAGGGGCCTTCGGACTCAACAGCTAAGTACGTGGAGCTACTTGAAATGAAATACGATGGCCTACCTACGTGTCCTTTACACCAAAGAGGTTTCATGTTTAATGGCGGACTGATGTTTAAAATATGAGGGTTCTTGGCCAATTTCAGATATGGAATACACGCTTGAGAGCTACATAAATTAAACATCGTAAAGAAATGAGATGAATAAAACACCGTACGTGGTCAGCAATTCCAAGTAGGATAGGTTAGGCTATTTGGGTACTTAATAGAACAAAGATTTTTACCATAAAAATGTTCCTCTGGTATTGACACCGTTCATTAGGTCGTATCTGAGAAAAAAATAAACATTACTAAATACATACATAAGATACACACACGAGACTCTCGCCATTATGTTTAGAGATACAATTCCTTATTCTAGACCCAATTCCTTAACTAATATAGCCGTTTGTACTTTCTCAGAATTTTGGTTAGAATTACTTTTTTAACTCCCCTTTGAGCAATTGCTACAAATGTTGAACTAATAGGCACATTTTAACGATTTACATCAAACAATTGATCACTTGAGTCGTTTAACCTCATTATTCATCTTTAGACTATATAACCAATGGTTATGAAAATTGGTAAAAAGATCGTTGAAAGTTGGTTTACAGGAAACGGAAGTAAAAAAAACATACATGAAACATCAAAATAAAACATGGCGAGTTATTTCAACATCAAGAAAGGAATTCTAAACTACAATCAGATGGAATTTATGGAAATCTTTTACAAATTCATATGTTGACATGAATGCTGCTTTCCAAACTGTGAATTTTTTCAAAAGGGTAAAATATTTATGGATGAATTGTAAATGCTTGGCAAAGACTATCTCGCGAGCGACATTTCACTCATTGATGTTCAAAAGCAAGCCAACATTGTTTTGAGTTTTATCAGCAGAAATTTACATCCAAAATCGTAAGTAAAGGACAACTGAAGTGTATGCATGAATGTAATATATCAAAGTCAATTTATGCGAGTGTGTGATGCGATGTATGTTAATATGCCGTATGGTAAGCAGATTGATGCTTCTAAAATTGTTGTTGCCGAAGGACTTTTAGCTATGATTTCTTTAGTGCTTGGGGAATCGTGACCGTTATATGGCAGCGAAATCCTACATTCCTGCAATTATATTTCAATGGACAAAAATCTGTAGCCATAAGGCCCCATACTATTATTTACTTTATCATAAACAAATGTTTGGGGCTTTTCAGTTTGTGATCATTGATCATTCAATCATTAGACAGTTATACTACATATTGTTTAAGATTTGAGAAAACTAACATTGATTACATTAGAAGCTGTTTACTACAACCTGTGATTTTGAGTCTTATGATCCATGAAGCTTTTTATTTTGACAATTTGACTGGAATGGTATTAAACCTTAGTACTTCACATACATGAAATGTTGTCCCATGTCACATATTGTCCCTTTTCTAACTGAACACCTCATGTAGACATGTAAAGGTGTGTTAATCTACGGCTCATACTCAGATTGTTTGCCATAAATTCCAAAGGGCTATTGATGTATGAAAAGCATTTTCTATAAAGTAAAATGTCTTTCTATGTATGCAGATAAACCTTGAAATTTGGCAAAACAGCAAAAGTATTTTTCATGATCACTAGGTTATTTTTCTGATGATCATTATAATTTCTAAATTAAATTATTTTAGATTTACATTTAAACAAGCTTTGATCATATGAAAAGATATTTATCATAACCAGTAAGCATGACACATGAACCAATTTTAACATTCATGTAACTATATAATTAAAGACATGTTGGTTATATTCTGTTTGTATTTGCAAATACAATGCTACAAGTGATTGCTATATAGCACACCTTGCATATACTTATAGGAGATAATAGTCAAGTGAAATGCCTAATAAACATTGATGGCATTGTTGTCCTAACTGCAAATTTTCACTCTGATAATTTTGCTTAATCTTTGGCAGAAAAAAATTTTGAGTTTTTTCTCAAAAAGTGAATTTGCTGGTACTGATGTGGAGATGGGTAAAGGGCTACAATAAACTTGCATAGTTTGAAGTCTGGCTTTTCTATATCTATGAACTGTCACTTGTAGTACCAAATTTCTAACTTAACTCATTACATAGAGGTTTGAATGGGGGTCTCTAGGGGTCTATGCCTGACAACTTGGTAGAAATTTTAAAGACTATATCTGTTTTGAATAGCATTAATGTAAAATAAATTTTACGTCCTAGACAGCTAATGAGCCATATATTTGGCATGATGATGAGCCAAATATTTGGCAAAACATCAAGTATTGTTCACTTCATTTTTTGAAAAACGTAAGCAAATGTGTGTTGTTTTTACGCAAAAACGATGCACAATAAAATATTTGTACCGATTCACTGCACCTCCGACGTTTTATGACTGATGTTTGAAAAATCCTAGATCCGCCCCTGGCCAAAACGGCAATAAAATTTTCCCTCACTATTCTATAAATATCTGAAATTCCTTATTCCAAAAGTGATACATAATTCTTTATAATATGCATTTCTAGAAGAAAATCTTTTATTCTATTGAAACAAATTTCTTTTGCAAGAATTAAACATCAAACATTGCTGACTGTGTACATCAAACAGAACCAACAACTGACCTTCTTCAGCAGCTGTGTAAATTGTTCCAGGAAGCTTTGGATGCGGCTCAGCTGTTTTAGCAGCAATGATAATATTTGATCCATCCTGTGCTGCCTTTAAAGCTATAGCTTTACCAAATCCAGGACTTGCTCCACTAATAAAAATTGTTTTTCCAGCAAGTTTTCTAGAAAACAAGAGAAAAGAGTCTAGACAATGAAATGCAAGCATTGATTGGTCAAAAGTCAAGTTTGCTTTGTATTAGCCTGTGCAAACCAATCTGAGCTAAATCAATTAAATTCATGAAAGACAATTTGCAAATCAATCATCAATACATATATGTAAGAGGACAAATTCAAACATTTGTTTATGCATTATCATTATTTAGTAATAGAAATGAAAGATATTTTCCATGTTTGCACTGGTTTATTATGCAAACCTCAGATACTTGAATAATGAATGATCAAAAAATAGAAAATCCAATGAGAAAATAATACATGACTAAAAACAATTACATTTTATCATCAGAGTGCATAAATAAAAGTTTCTTTGCCTTTCATTCAGACCAAAAACGAGAAGGATTCTTAATGCGATCATTTAAATAAAAATCAATAAAGCTGTTTAAAATACCAGTCATACAGAAATTCATCAGGTAAAAAAGGCCAGTTGACATGACATTCAAAAATAAGCAAATGATTGTTCTTCACAATCAACCTTCCAACATTCTGCTTTGACAGAAATACCGCAAATTAGAGCAATCTTCTCGAACTCACCCCGTGTTTAGCATGATTCAAAGATATAAACTATTCAATTCGAAATTTTGAACGATGAAATTGATCTTTGACCATTTGACGTTGTCGTGCTTATTGATGATACTGTATTTTCTTTGCGCAACATTTTTGGGCAACAGGCAGTACTTATGGATAAAACGGGACATGCTTATTTTAGCCATTTGGCGCGAACTCACTTATAATGTTCACTGATTTTGTTGTTCTCATGGATAATGGAAGACAAATTTGTGTCTTCAAGTCTTTCTACCACTCACTTGCGTGTAAAAACTAAACTGAAACGCGATCTATGGGATGACTACTTGTGTTCAAACTTCAACCGCACCGAATCATGGTATCGAGCAGAAATTGATAAATTACGCTCAGAAATATCTGAATTGGAAGCCGAGCTAAACGAGGACAAGCAGTCGTTTTCAACTGTACATTTACTCCAGACTCTTGACAAGTTGACTGAAAACTTACCACACGACAAAAAGGCTTTGTTAGATGGAAAAGATATTCATGGTAAACTGCATGATGATGGCCATATCGATATCGAACGTCTAGAAAAGTTTACAGGCTTGTATATTCATGATATAATCATCCAAGTTGAGAAAGATGATGGGGTTAAATGTATTAGAAAACATCAAATACAAGGGGCTTGTCGTGGAATTGAATTTCAAATGAAATTCTCGGTAGAAGAGGTCACTCAGCAAGATAGTCAAAGTCAGTCAGGTAAATACAGTATAAAAGACAAGCTAGACTGGCAGAGTCAAGTCTCTCTATGCATGAGCGTTTGTTATTCAAGAAATAATAAATGTTTACCAGTATTGCACAGTCTTATGCAAACCGAGGAGACGTATAGAAGAAATTGAGAACAGATCAGTGATTTCCATCTGCTTGAGAGTTCTCCCAAATTTCTCCTTGGTTGTATAATCAAGTGCAAACACAAAAAACATCTTCTATTTTTTCTATAAAATACCAATCATGCAAAACAGATAAATTTAAAACAAAGGTTTTAATTTTTCTTATAGCATGTATTGATGATTGATTTGTAAATTCTCTTTAGTTGATTTCATTCATTCAGCTGCAGTGGTTGAGCTCATATCGGTTTGCACAAGCAAATTGCAAACTCAGCCATTAACCAACCATTGCAGGCATTTTATTGTTGTTATTTTATAAACCTGTATGTGTGAACAATGAGGCATAAATGAGGTGATATGAATCAGCTGTTAAAAATTTATCTTAGAGATTGCTAATAAATCTGGTGCTTCTGTTAAGTACATTGAACAACTTTATAAAACATCATTCCATTCAAGTGAGGCAATTATAATATTCTTGTTTAGTTGTTCTTTTGTTTGCATGAGAATTTCACAATTATTCTCGTTAACAAAGCTCATTAGAGCAATTTACATTGTTTGGGATGTACTCAGGATGCTGTGATTATATTGGAAAAATATATTTATTGATACTGAAAAAATTGCTGTATCAACTGTATGAAATAATATGAATTTATGAAAATTATGAAAATTGGTTTAGTTGAAAAAGTGTTAAAATTGATTTGTAACTAGGAAGCAAATTTCATTTTTTTCAAGGTGACCAAACTAAATTGATTAGCAATTTTTTGTAACAGTAAAGGTTGCCTAATATTTATGTTCAAATTAAATTCATGATAAATCAAATTCACAATTGAAGTTTTTTATACAATGCTTTTTTGTTTAAATGTTGTTTATGGTATTTTTGTTTAGAGGTCATTTATGGCAGTTGATAGTTTCTAATTTGTTTATGCAAACAAATGCAACACTGATAATTTAGTCTCAAAAGATCATCTGACTTCCAGGTTAATATACAACTAAGTTGTTCGCTCTGGTCTGAGATTATATCACAACAATGAAAATAATTGGTATTTATGAAGTTTGTTAACTGACTTGTGTCCTTATTTTTTATCACGTAACTGGTCTTGTTTGTCAAGTACCTGACTTTTTACCATACCTATGGTATAATATACAAACCATCTCAGTATTTGCTAAAGGGATGTGCAAACTTTGTTGAACTTTCGAAGAACTTTCTCCGTAAATTGCCTTTCAATATTTCAATAGCGATTGCGTTACTTCAATTGAGCAGAACATCCGGTTTGACTGTAAATGATGATCACAAATTATCTCATCGAGATAATTTGACTTCTAGGTTTGAAATAGCGTAGCTTGGAGCTTGGTCATTTTCGACAAATGAAAATTTTCTGCTTTGTGCCTGCAATCCTCAACCATGTCCCTCTGTTTTAATGAGTTTATAGTTTAAAGAGAAAAAAGTTAATCAAAGGAGGATTTTTCTTTCAAGTTTCTATAATTACTAATAATGTCACAGTCAGTGTGGATTTTAAAAAAGGTTGAACATGACAATGAAATTTAAAGACATTATAGCTACGTACGAGTCAAGCTGTGGCTAATGAATAAAATGAAATACTTGCTTTAGAGAAGCCTTTGCATTCAAGATTAAATATGAGTTAATTGCAATCACAACTGAATCGTTGGCAATCTACTTCTATTCCATAAAGATATTCAGAAAGTAGCGAAAACAATGTATAATATTATTTAGACCGTTTTCATCAATTCATTTCACGACATTGCCATCTATTCATCAATTCAGGTTACCCATGTGTATGCTATGCGTACCTTTTTTAATTTTACTTTTATACATGTAAAATCTACAGCTGCTTTTTGTTTCATTTGCAGCAAAAAGGAGATGCTTGTGAAGACAACCCTCGAATCATTTATCTGGAAGTCGGTTTGAAAAATGAAGAAGTATCTTCACATTTTAAACATTTTGGAATATGTGCAAGAAGAAAAACAATTACAGCAGTTTTTGTAACATTGCAGTGTTATGGAAAATGGAAAAAAGACAGATTGAAAACATTTAACCATTTTCGTAATAAATACCCAGAATTAGTGACGTATGTACCTTTTCAAGATGATGACGTCATGACAGCTTGCAACAAGCGGCATCCAAATTTTCTTATCAACATTGTTTGGAAGATAATCGTCTCTAGAACTGGTGATGTTAAACCAGCATTTGCTATGCAGGCCGTCATACCAACAAAATATGATAACGGTAATTTTCTTAAGAATATGCAAGCGAAATTCACTGGTTTGTTGAAAAGTGTAGGTATAGAAAAATCAATTGAGGTAATACTCCTTACCATGACAGAATAAGTTGAGGCGAAGTAGCCGGGGTTTTTTTTACAATAATTTGTCATAAAAAATACATAGATAAATCTTATTAACATTTTGAATTTGCCCTGAAAAGGGCAAGGTTATTCATTAACTTAATTAGTGTAGCTACCATAGCACAAGCTTTAAATCACTTTTAACCGCAACGTTTTATAGAAGAGAAGAAAAAGATTAAAGTAAAGTCTCCAAATTTAAACGTGTGCGCAGATCCTTACTTCCAAGAGAAATTGCATCTGCGGTCTGTGCAACTTTCTGCGCCTGTTTATTTCCGACTTGAGCACACTAATATTTAAATGCATGACTGCAATTGGAAGTAATGTAAGGATTGCTTAATTAAGTGACGATATTTTGTTTTCCATCACCATTTCTACTGCATGTTAGTTTCTAAATTTTGGGAAAACGACAAGTTGTATAGTTTTGCCATTTCTACACACTTTGGTTTTCGAATCCATCGAATTTCGATCTGTTGCCTTTGAAAACAGCTTAAAGGACAGGACTGGAAGGCAAGTTAACAAAATTCTTCAAACTATACAAAGAACACGCTGACTACTTTTTAGTTGCGGCTTTTTGGAAAATTGGTTTTGTCCTCGTCGCATTTCTTTAAATAATTCTTGCTTAAAATATCTTCCTAAAATCTGAAGAAAAAAGGCCTAACAAGCTTTCCCCTCGAACAGGCCAACCAAATACTGAAAAGTAAACTTCTGCATATTCAATCACAAGTGATGTTGGTAAAAAGAGGTTACAGAAAATACCAGACAATTATGCACTTTGCCTTTACCATGAGTACCATGAGATAAAGACTGAATTATGGACAGACGTCATCAGTGCAAAACGTTCAGAACTTACGTTTACTACATATAAAGAAAGCAAGTCATTAATTGTTGGTGATCAACATTTCTTCTTGTATTTTTATCATTGAACTTAAGTGCATGTAAGGATATTTAAAGGAAAATAATGGTGACGTCACTGATGTGGTTATTAGATAAATTCAAAATAATGTTTTATTAGTGTTACTACAGATAATGCCAAAATACGTACATATGTGCATTGAAACCCTTAAATCACTGAGTACAGACTACACAGGTCAGCTCCTTTCCACCGACATATGGTGGACATGGTAAAGAACCACAATGGCTTTCAACAAAATACAGCAATGCTCCATCTCTATTTGCATGAGATCCATACATTGCTTCTGGCTTGCCATCAACACAAATGTACTCAGATCGCTTGTGAGTATGATGTTCAGCCATTAAATAACCTTTGTATTCCATAGTCCACCCTGAAGGGCAGATATTGCGCGCTGGAATCATCATGTGACTACCACGTGACTTAGCATGACATACAGCACACGGAGCATCTCGGTCGTGTAAGTTTGGATTTGGAAATATATGTTTCTCAGCAGAATAAATCTCGTATTCAGTACCATAAATGATTGCATGACTCTGAGTCCCAGCAGCGTATTTCTCGTATATTGGATTCAATGGTAAGCAGAGATAATTTGATCCACTCCCACTGTGTGTATGATACGATCCCCCGATTGCTCCTGTTTTTCATAAAAAGATGCTTGAGAACTGCAACTAATGAATACGACTACTTGGTTTTCACAAGAACATAGGTTATGATACAAATGTCGATTCGCGTATATTGCGTCGAAGATTTACAGTTAAAAAGAAATATGACTGTCCAGTGTTACGTTCTGAGCACTTAAAAAATTTTAATGAGCATATTTAATGAAATTCTTATGCCTGATTCACACGAGTAAAATAAACAAAATTAAGATCGTTAACAAGATTAAACAACGACATTCATCAAAGCATTTGACACAAGCGTAAGGGACGAGGGAGCCGCTGTAAAAAGTTTGATGATTGGTCGGATGAATTGTCAACATTAGCAGGTCGGCAAAAACAAGTGATAAAGAAGTTATGACATGAATTTGAAGTCAAGAAGTCTGTTGTTTGATTGTGAGTTGATGCAAGCATAAGGGAAAGACTTCATCTTAAAATAAATAGAAAGCCGATTTCTTTGTATTTGAAACCATTAAAAATACTCAAAATAGGAAACTGAAGTTTTATCGCTCATCCATGCTTATTTTACTTCTTAAACCTATACTGGTTGTAGCTAAATCATGAATCGCAATTACGTAGATTTTCTTACCAGAATAAATCTCAACAGTTTTCGTTGTTTTAGGACAATGTTTTCTTCCCCATCTGGTATAGACTACTCCACTGGTTGACGTGGCTTTACTTTTAGGTCCTGGTGGACCAGCTGGACCTGGTTTTCCTGTCTTACCACGAGGACCTTATAATATTAAACTTTGCTATTAGCACATTTGACTATATGAAGCCTAGACAGGAGTAGTTTTCAAATGTCCGTTAGACACGGTGAAAAAAAACGACTTTTAGAAATTAGGGGGCATATAGGACATCCATTGCTATCCAGACAACCACAATTTGTAGATCGTGGGGTTACCTTAAAAGAAGGACACTTAAAAATTGACTTCTTACTTGAACGTTTATGATATATGAATAAATGCCACTTTTTGAAGGTGTACTCATTTTTTAAAATCAACAGATCACTCTAACATGATGCAGTTAAAAACTGAATAAAAATATCTAATATCAATAAGTTTCATTACAGGTTTTACTATTGTAAATGATCACATTTTGAGTATGAAACACTTTAATCTTTTAAATGCTTCCAGTATAAATTCTATGTCCCATTAGCTATTTAACTATGTAAGCCTATATTAATAATGGATGCTATATAGCCTATATTATATTACATGTCTTTGTTAGTTCAAAAAACGTTTGCTTCTGGCATTTTAATATGTTTTCTGAACTTTTCTCACAACAAAATCAGGGATGTATTGCTATCGCTAATTAAGGGGACTCTTATTCGTATATGCATGTTATAAATCCGTAGATAACAAAACATTTCAAAAGATATTAATTCAGCATATGCATATATGAATAAGAGCCCCAGTTAGCGATAGCAATACATCCCTGAGCAAAACGTGCATTTATTGAACTTAAAAAACAATATGGCATTTGAAATCGTTTATTTATAACGCTTAGAGACTGTTTAAGAATGTTATCAAATTTTGAAAGCGTCAAAGTTTTCACGACAAAAGGAAAATATATGTATAAAGTTCTGACCATTTCGGAAGAGCCTGCTATAAAAATCTTTAATAGATTTTTACGTTCCGTTTGAATTAAACATCTAAGTATTTAGAATCCATAAAATCAGGATCTGGACTCGTAAATGGCACGCAGCCAAAAGGTAGTAATACTTTATACGAGTTTTAAGCTATTTTGTCAAAATCGATCAAATAGTTTATTTAGCTAAGAGGGGTATAACAGTTAATAAAAGATTTAACGTAGTTTCCAGGAAATACATTTAACCACACATGAACTACAGATAAAAAGAAAATGACCTTGTTAAAAAACTCACCACGCAATGAAGCATCTCTGCCATCACGTCCTAAATTGTAAGGTTATTTTAGAAAAATTAGATTCAGTAGTAATAGAGCTACGTTGTGGTAGTAAACATTCTCTTAAAATATTTCACAACTTCAAAAGTAAAGAATGTTGTATAACTCACCATCTCTGCCTGGAAGTCCTGGAAGTCCTCGACAACTTGTTACTTTGCCATTCTGTCTCTTAAAATACTTAACAAACAGTTAAAGTCGTAACTATAAAGTGATAATTTGCGGCTAGCCTAAATTCAGTGAAACGTGAAACGATTTAAAATATGGAAAGGAGTACAAATTTGAAATAAAAAACTCATAAATCTTTAATTAAGCGCCATACGAAGTAAGTTTGTGTATTTTCTATCCATGCAAAGTCCGAATGTTGAGAAAATAACGAAGTAAATTTGCTAGATGATAAATACTCTCTTAGTTAAATCTGTCTGAATCATTTCAAGTTTCTCTAATCTTCAGCTACCAAGGCTTGGGAAATCAAACTCTTTCGAACAATTGAGCAATGACAAAACAAACTCAATAATTGGGGATACAAAAGAGTCCAAAACAAAAAATCATACAAATCATTATTTAATGTGTGCGTACTAGTGTACGTGTATGTGTGAGCTAGTATGAGTAGGGAAAATGTTTTCAACTGGTTAAGATTTTATTTTCTTTATAGGTTACTTCAATGCAACCTAAATATGATCAGTAATCATAAAATATGCCACGTTTCAACACAACATATCGTATCTAAAATATCAAATGATAATACAAGTGATTACCACAAACCTTTCTTTTGCTTTGTCTTTAACTTCAACATGGCATTTTGTCATCATTATAATTGCAGTAGATGACTTTTATTAGAAAAAGTAAAATAATCTGAGAGTAGCGATGTACATTATTTTACGTTTTTTATAGGACGAAAACTTATCCTCTCTGTCAGCTATTGCAGTTACAAGTAAACTCTTGCAATGCAGTCTGTGATATTTTTAGTCAGTTTTATCCAATCATATGCTTTGTTTTCATATTTCATCCAATCGATGGCTTCCATCAAATTCATTCACAGGCAAATGAGTGAAATTGCTTTGCTTCAGCTCCAGTATGATTTTTCTAGTTAAAACAAGAACTATTCATTGAAACACCCTTTATTTATAATTCTGCGTTGGACATTGTGTAGCCATATTAATGCATTAAGTTTGATTTGTCAAGCGTCTCCTTTGTCTTTGATTGGCTCGGTCTTTAGTTTGATTGAAACTTCCTTCAGTTCTTCTTTTCTATTCTTTTAATAGATTACACGCACACAAACAGCTGGAGTACTGTAATGTTACAATGTGCATGAACATAGTAATCATGCAACGTCGTTGTTATTTTATTAACTTTGGACGAAGGTTATGGTCACTTTGTTTCATGTAATGTGTATGCTATGTTTTGTTTATGCTGTATATTAAAGATCGTTGAATGTCGATGGTTGT